GAAATGAAAGGTGTTTTCTGTCATGTTTTGTTACAAAAAAAAAAAAAAAAAANTCTAACGCGTGAAATATTACATATGGTGCCAGAAAAAATAGAACGTACTAATAGTAAATTTTATAAGGTTTTTCATAAATATTGAATGCTTCGTAGTTTTTAAATAGTGTTTAAAATCTTTTGACATAAAAAATACTTAATAACGCGTACAAACGTGTGAAATGTTAGACATGATTACAAAACTGATAGAATTAATAAATGGAAAGTATATTTAGTAAGAAAAATATAATCAAAGAGTATCCACATTCTATTGCTGAAACATATAAAAAGATGACTCTTTTTTTAAACATGGAGGTCTTTGTGTTCCGTCAGGTTTAAAGTGCACCAGCCACCATTAACTTCTCGGGGAGTCTTCGGCCAGCAGGGATCAAACTCGCAACCTCTTGGCATTGGGCCTAACAATCTACCAACCTAGCTATCACGGCCCCTAATACATCTATTCTGACAACAATAAATAGGAGACGTGGTGGCTCAGGGGATAGAGTGATCACTTTCCAATGAGGTGAGCCGGGTTTGAATCCCAGTGATGGCTAGTCGATACGAATTCCGCATTCGGCTCGTATCGACCACACTGCTGACGTAAAATATCCTCAATGATAGACGGATCATGGGTGAGTCCCCTTGCTGTCAGGCTATCCGTGGGAGGTTTTCGTGGTTTTCCTATCCATGTAACACACATATGCGAGTTAGTTCCTTCAAAAAGCCCTTCACGAAGGACATTTTATCCATGAGTTCCCTTGTCTTCTGGATAGGGTTAAAAAAATTACAAGGCTACGGAGTTGAACATTAGTAGTCATAAACCCTAAAAATTGGGTCTGCTGTTCAATGACGGTTATAAATTAAAAACAATAAGTTGAAATGGCAATCGATGTACTAGTATAAAAAAAAATTAAGAAAAACTTAGCAGTTGGTGTTTTAGGTTAATGCATTTCAAATGATTTATTGCCATTAGACACCTTATAATAGTATGTTTCAAGGAAAAAAAATTTTTTTGTCAATAAATCTTGAAGCAAACGATAATAATAAGCAAACGATAATTTCCATGCTATTTAAATGCCTTATTGTAACAAACAATATAAATAAGTTAATAAACACTAGTGGCAATTTCGCTTATAGCTCTTTAAGTTTTTATTATTATCTGTGTAACATGGAAACATCTTTGAAAAAATATTCTTATTAAATATAATTTTTTTACTTTTATTTATTAATTTTATTCATTCAAATAGTCGGAAAAATTATTTGGTTTAGCTAATAGCTGTTTGAAGCTATTCGCATTTTCTGCTGAATTAGTTATGTTAGATGTAAAGCAAAACGTTTAAACGTTAACGTAAATCATAAAATCTGAAATTATACTAAGTTACTAATGCTATTACAATTGTTAAATACATTTTTGCATTATGCATAAAAAAAATGTGTATCTTATTAAAATATTAGTTTCAAAAGGTAAAATATTATTGTATCTGCGTTTTCAAATATTCTGCATAAAATTTAACTTCTGTTATAATTTATTAAGTAGTTTTTAATTAGTAGCTATAATTTACTAGTAGTTTTAATAGCTAATTACTTTTTTGTAGTTTTTATTTTAAATATGTTTATGGCATTCTTTGAAAAACAAATGTTCTTAAATGTATTTATGGAAATAGTCTTACTAAATTATTCTGCTAATAATAATTGTTCTGACTAAAATTGTGTTAATAAATGTTGTCACTATACTATAAATTAGGATTTTTTACTACTATTATACTATAAATTAGCACTGGATAATGATGAATAAAACATAGATTTTTCAAAAACTGAATTAATAATAAAAAATTTGTTAGAGAAATTAAGAATGCAATGTAGAATGCAACCTTCATTTAATTATACAATAAAACCTTTATTAAATAATACTATAAAGATATATTTAAGCGTTATAAGTATGAACTCTTGGCTGCATTCATATATAGTATTAACTTATTATTTTCCATCTAATAAGACTTGCATAAATATTTTACAGCATTATAAAGATTTATAAATTAGGCTTAATAAACCGAAATAGAAAGCAAATTTATACCATATTGTGGTTCAACTGCATTATTTGATATTTTTGTATTCTATAACCATGATCAAAATACAGATTTTTCAAACTGAAATCATACGTAAAAGTTAATATATTAATTGGATATTAGTATCTAGCCTACATTTTATTATACTATTAAAATATATTTAACGCTATAATTATTAAATTCTAGTCACTATTCAAATCTTGTTGACTGCTTTTTTTTATGTTAGCTTAATATTTCCCATCTAATAAAACTTGCATAAATATTTTATATGGCATTATAATGATTTAATAATTATGCTTAATAAACCGAAGATAAAAATCTAAATGTATTTGTAAAAGATACTTTTGCTAAATAATTACAAATATATATGCATAATTCATTATTCCATTCGATAATATATCGCTTTAAAATAAAAATATGCACTTTTTTTTCAGTAATTACTAGGTTTATAAACTTTGTAGCCAAATAAAGCTGATATTATATCCACTCATAAAATTTGCACCTTTAAAACATTATCAAATAAAAACAAAATTCAATAATTCCATCAATAAAAGTCATCTGCGAGATAATTACTCCCTTGCAATAAAAATGCATATTTTTTTGAGACAAGTATGATAATATTGTATCACCTGTCTTTCAAAAGCCTTGAGAAAGAAGTAGAAAATTCACCGCGTTAAGACGTTTCGTATTATCTGCAAATTTCGAATGTGTTTTTAAAAAAAATGGACGTAGTCTACGAAGTATCTTTCAGTAATGAATGTTGCTCAAAACATGCGTTAAAGAAAATCAACATAAATGCATGTTTAAAAAATACAAACATATATCGAAATAAGCGTTTAAGAAAATGGTTATGTTTCTGTGAATGACCGAAGAGAATGTCGACTTTCACCTATGAATGTCGACAATCACATAGTTGCTTGAGTGAATGTCCGAAATACTGTTATATCGAGTTTGATATTTATTTATTCGTTGATATTATTACTCGATAGTTTAATATCTGCTGAGAATAGATTAGGTGACATATCAGTGTTCGGATAACCGGTTAATTACATACTGGTTAGTGGCACTTGACATTAAAGAAATATTGATTTTAGGCATACCGGGCAAATGTATACCGAACCATGGCAATGAACCTTAAAAAAACATCAGTGTAGGGTATTCCGGGCAGTGGCACTTAACTAGACCCAGTATATATTTTGGACATTTACCAAAGCAACTATGTGTTTGTCAACATTTCACGGGTTTAAAGTCAACAACCACCAATTTCTGAAATTCGCAGTAACAGATATAAAGGAATGGATTGAGAAAATGGATATAACGTTGATATGATAACGTTTAATGAACTGCTGCTACGACATTTTATTTATTTTTTAAAAAAAAAATACTAGCTTGTAAAAAATAATTATTATTTTTCAATATTAAAAAAAAATAGTAAGTGATTTTTCATATCAGTTACGAGCGCCATAACGTAATTATGCACTCACTAAAAATATATACCGTCATTCGAGGCTACTTTGTGCAGTGGGGGCTACTTTGTGCAAATTCAAATTTTGCATTTTTCAAGTGCTGCTATTGAGTATTATGTTTATTTCACGTTAAAAATGTGTGGAATTTGAAGATAGAAGTCTCTTCTATTACTACAAACATTTTTTCGAATTTTAAAACTATCTCAGAGTGTGTTTTGTTTATAAAATGTCAACAACTTTCCGAGGACGTCGGATGTCGAAAAGTGTGAGTGGAAACTTTAGCTGTGAAATGCAAAGACGTTGATAAAACAATTGTCGTAAGTGCAAAATTTTTTATTTATATATTAATAAACAATTATATCATGTTAGCGTTAAAAAAATTTGAAAATTAATAACAAATAAACGGAAAATGAAAAAAAATGCACTTTGGGGCTACTTTGTGCAAAGTTTCATTCGTTTTTTTTTTCGACAGAAAAATGGTCAGACGTTATAAAAAAATACCTGGAACGAGAAACTACCGTGATTACACTTTAGAAAAGCTGCAACAATGTTTGCAAGCAGTTGCTGGTGGTATGTCGATTGCAGAAGCTTCTCGGAAGTACAAAATCCACAGAAATACTATCTCTAATAAAATTCACAAGAAACACGTGAAACTTCCTGGTAAACTATTATTTTTCTTCTACAAAGATTTTTCTAATGAATTAATCAAACGATTTAACACATAAAAATATATTTTATAGGACATCAGGTGATTTTGACAGAAACTGAAGAGCAAGTTCTGTCATGTTCATTCAAGGATGTTATGTTCAAATTTAACAATATTATAAATGTTAATGAATATGTAATAATTATTATTTTTAAAATTTCATCCATTTCAATGTTTAAAAATGTATATGGTTTCCTTTTGTTTAAACTCAAATGTTTTGAAATAAACATTCTTTTTAAGAAAAAATTCTTAAAAAAAAATGGTTTTTTAACGCTGAAAATTATTTTCAAACTAATATCTTTACATATCTTGATGTTTTTGTCTTTAAAAATGTCAACAATTAACTTTTTTAACAATTTTATATCAATATTTTACTAAAAACATGATTATTAAACTGAATTCCTATCGCTGCACAAAGTAGCCCCATTTGGGGGCTACTTTGTGCAAGGTATGTTTTGACTTATTATTCGTAAATATTACATACAAATAATGCCAATATTGATCAAATTCACTCGTCTGAGTCCAGTTATGAATATAATATCGATAAATCTTACTAAAGTTTGAATTAACATAGTTTTTTTACATGTCAAAGTTCAAAAACTGCGAAATCCTGCACAAAGTAGCCCCGAATGACGGTACCACTCTCACAACCTAAAATTTTATTACGAATCAGGAAAAATTAAAAAAAAATTTCCAAAAAGTAAATCTCAAAAGAATAAAATTCATTCTCCAATATATATTATTTTCCTTTAAGGTTTATCTAAGTACACGAACTGGAGCACATGTTTTGAGTCGAGTTGGTCCTTATGGCTTACCAATGGATTATGCTTTGGCTCGACGCTATCTCACCATTTCAATTGACTTGCTTCCGGCAAATTTATTAAGTTGGCTTGTTGAAACTGTCCTTATTGACCCGAAGTTTAATTCAAATTTGTATGCAGTTAAGTCAAAGTTTCACGTACTTTCTAAAGATCCAGTCTTCAATATCAAAATTCACCGAGAATGGGGTCATCTTCGAAGGCGAATCGTCCGTCACCGAAACCGACGTAGTCATAATGGCTACTGGCTACACGTGGAAATTCCCTTTTCTCGAAGACGACGTCCGTGCAGATATGGAAAACCAGCTAAATTTGTACAAATGCATGTGGATGGTCTCCTGATTTAAAGCACTTCGTAGGGTTCTTCTTACCGTTTGGTGCATCTTTTCTAATGGGAGAATTGCAATGTCGGTGGGTGGCTCAGGTGTTCGCCGGGAATGTAAAACTACCTCCGAGAGAAACATTGATGGATGACATCAGGAAAAGGCTTGAAATCAACGAGAAAAGATATGCACCTTGCAGTAAACAAGGTGTTCGAGTCGACTACACGCAGTTTCAAGATAAGATTGCTGAACAAATAGGCGCTAAGCCTAATTTTTACAGAATGTTATTTACAGATCCGCAGCTCTGGTTCAAATTAATATTTGGTCCTAGTGTTCCCTACCATTACAGACTACAAGGACCACATCCGTGGGAAGATGCGAGAGAAGCTATTATGAAATGTGGCCATTGAAAAGAAAGGAAGTAGAAAGAGTGGAATCGCCATATGTTCGATATGCAAAGAAATTTCTATATTTCTTGCTTCCCTTTTCGTAAAAGGAGTTTTTCTCTATGTCATGCATTGATTGAGAATTTCAATAAAATTGAATTTATCTTGAGTTATTTTATTTTTTTGGGTTTATCTATTGTTATGCTCAATCATGAGTGTGTATTACATTTGCTGAATTGTTATTTGTTTTGTATTGTATCGATGTATGCACATATCAAATTTCATTGAAATCGTTCCAATATTTCTAGAGAAAATCGACCAAGTCTGTCCTTTTAATTTCTTGCCCCAGTGTATTTTATGCATAGTTCGCGATATTGGAGCATTCTTTATTGCATAAAAATATCTAGAAGCAATCCCAATTTGTTATCTTTCTTATTCAACAAATATTATAGATCACATGGTGTGATCCTTACAGAACGAAATAGTTTCATATTCTCGTTAACATTTTTAATAAAATAGTTATTTGATAATCTATTAAATATAGATTAGAGAGAGCTTCATATTTTATGTTATACGTTAATACAGTTTTTTCAAATATTAATTCCTTAATTAAATTTAATTAATTAATTTTATTTTCATATGGGACAAAAAATTGTAATTATTTAATTAAAAGTAACTAAAATAAAATTTGTTGACTTAAGCAAGAATTGACTTGTTTTTAATAAAAATATACAAGTTAAAGAATCCATGTGTTGGCTATTAATTGATTAAATTTAATGCCAAGGCTCTTTTTCTTAGCCTTACGCACTCAAATGTGTTGGCGGAAAAGAAAGCAAAAGAAATAATAACGAATTTTAATGAATTCAATATACAACCATATAACGGTTTTCGAATTCTATGCTAATGTGTTAGGCAGATGTAGAGGAAATCTTTAAAAATAGATTTTTTTCTACACTCAATTTAAGGTTGTGGAATAAAAAAAGATTCCAGATTATATTAACGATTTTTATTTATTGAAAAAGGTTAAATAAGAAAATAATTTGGTTATTAAATGTCAGGAAATATGTTATGCATATTTCAGCATGGCAATTAAAATATGAGTAAATACTTTCAATATATAATGTATTAAAAAAGCACAAATGAACTAATTGACTTTAATTATTTATAATTTATTTCAAAGTTTACATGGGCAAATTTTACTTTGCATTCATGATTAAGTAAATTATGAGTATACAGATTGAGAGTAATGTAGAATAGACATAGGTATGATTTATTTTATTTTATTTTTAAAAGTTTTCAACTCAGTGAGTGGAATACAATAATAATACAATAATAGAACTAAGATTATTAAAAAAAAACTTATTTTGTTGTGATAAAAATTGCATTCCATTTATTGATAATAAGCAAGTTGCAAATAAAAGTTATTTTATTAAATTGTCATTGGTTATCATAAGAAGTTATCTATATATTACTCTGCATACGCCTACACATAAGAGTCGACGATCTGGTGACCTGGACGTGACACTTATGACTCCAGATTAGAAAAAATCCTCTAATTGGTCTCCCAATTGGTGACGCGGACGTGTTTAAATCACCTCCAGGTCACCAATTAGGGGATTTAAATATCGACTATGTTAACCTTCATCTATCTAAAGGTACCTCACGATTGAATCAAGTTAAAACGTCTTATATACTAGTAAATTGGTATTTAATATAGTGGTAGTATAGTGGCTACGCCACAGTAATTAAAAATAAAAACTTTTCTTTTGAATACACATAATCACGGCATAACGTTATAATAATATATTATACTGTAGACCAATATAATGTGCTTTCGTTTGATTGAATTGAAAGACATAGCAATAATTTTCGGTGTGTTTTAGTCAAGGTTTGAATGCAAAAATGTTATCAATGGGCGTTATAGTATTATGAAACCTATTCAGTATCGTATTGTATTGTATCGTGTGTTTACATATTTGTTTATCGGTTTTACTTTTCTTCTCAATAAAATATCATCAATAGTTTAAAGGCTTTTCTATCGTAACTATTCGAATAAACTAAAAAGGTAAAATAAGTTTCATTGAAATGCAGGAAGATTCTAAAAAAATTCTTTATGCCAAATTAAGCTGCAAGGTTTCATAGAAAATCCATTTAAGGTGCTTATTATTTTACAATTTCTGCACAAAATTCAGTATTTGCGATCCACTAAAAATGTGACATAACTTTAAACCCAATATAGGTTTTATATTTCAGATTAGAAAAGATTCGCTTTCTTTTACTCAAAACATGAAAAATCCATTTTATTGTAAAATGTGGACTTTTAAACCTTCATGTTCAGGCGAATGTTCAATACTTGATAATAAATACAATTATTACACTTACCGTTTGATAGTTTATAATAATAAATTAAATGAGGAATAAAAAATGCATCGGATAAAAAATATGGATTTTCTTTAATGTTTATATTTCGTATGCTGTGGTTGCATTTTAGTTATTGCTCTACTTTCACGTTTGTTTACATTTAGATGAAAGCAATATCCAATAATTTTATAAATTAAAATAGGAAAGAATAGTGCATTTGTAAAAAAAAATATATGGATCTTATCTTATTATTCAGTTATAACTGCCCATTGTGAAAAATTCCGGATGTAATTCCAGTAAAAAGAAATGACACCCTGAGTGCCGTAGTCGTTACCGTAAAATTTCCTGGAACAAAACAAACATGATATATTACTTTACTTTAATATTTTGTAAAAAATGGATTTCAGGGTAAAATTTTACGGTATAAGACAATAAGAGAAAAAAATGGATTTTACGGATCTCAGGGTGTCAGATCTGAATTCTTTTACAGCGTCGATTTCTTTTTAACAAAATTCGTGATGCAAATGTAGATGTATTCAGGTAGTTTGTTTAATAAATCAGAGATTGATATGATTGAGTAGGTAATTTAATACATTAATACTTACTGTGAAATCACATAATCACTGAAAATAAATAAATATTAATGTAAAAGTTACGGTGTAAAATTTTACGGCTTAAAACTTTAAGGAAAAAGAAAAGATTTTTCGGATCTCAGGGCTCCAGAAATTTTTGCTGCAATTTTATCTGAATTCTTTTACTGTGTAGATTTCTTTTTAACAAATTTCATGTAGTAAATGTAGATGCATTCAGTTAGTTGGTATAATAAATCAGAGACTTCTATGATAGAGGATCCAATCCAAATTCCCAAGAATCCACCGATGTTACTAAACAACTCCATTGGCTAGAAGAATACAAAATTAATCTTACAATGTATTCTATTCATTAAACAGGAACGAGAAAATTTATATATATATAACACGCAGTTTCAAGATAANTATATAACTATATATATATATATATATAGTGAAACAAAATTTATGGATATAAATGGGTACTAATTGAATTCTACGTAACTGAAATGATTTCAATTGAATTCTATGATAGGTAGGTACTTTATTTACATCACACTAGGGCTAGGGTAATGGGCTATTGGCGTCGGTTTGGGAAGCATCCCTGAGGATGATCCGAAAACATGCCATCGCATTTTTGATTCTCTGCAGAGAGAATGGCTTCCCTGATTTGGTAGTCCGACGGCAAGCGCGAAGTCGATAACTTTACGGTAGAACAGTTTAACGAGGAACGATGCCGCGTACCCTCAGTTTCTTCACAGGCTGATCAAAGTGGTCACCCACCCGCTTTCTGACCTGCTGTGTTCTACTGGGAGCCGTGTCTTTACGATCAGTCCCCCAATTCTTTGGAATTGAATGGATATTAATTAAATGTGGTTCAAATATTGTATTTTTCCAAGTATATTACAGTTGCATTACAAAAGTTTTGATAAAATATTTTCCACATGCCCCAAAACAAAATAACCTGAATTCATTTTTAGAATACAATTCCAAACTATTCAATAAGTTTTATAATAAATTTTTTTGCTTGTTTTTTTTTTCTCATTAAAAGCAATTTGATAATAGGAAAATGTAAGAGCGTTGCAAATATAAGAGCGTCAAGAGTTCAAGTAGATCCTCATATAAATAATAAAGATGTATAGTTTTCAGATGTAGCCTCATTGACGTGAAAGGAAAAAATTTTGTATTCTTTAAATGTTTTAAATTGCATTTGTTTTAAAATAATTTTTTTAGGTAGGCAATCACGATAAGTCCTACAGTTTTAATCAAACTAAATTTGAAATTTTAAAACAAGCATTTATTTTAGTCATTTATGTTGCTAAAAAGGAAGTTCCCTCTTAATGCTGTAAAACTCATGATAATACACTCATGATCATACGCTCATTAAAGATAATAGCAACTCAGAAGTTTCAAAAGTTTCAGAAACAAAACAAATGTAACTTATTCATTGAGCCGTTTTTTTTTCACCAAATGTTGAAAATCAAAAAAGATGGTAAGATATCATTCATAAAAACTACAATCTTCTAAAGAATATCTCCTTTACAAAAACTTAATATTACATGGTTGGTATAATGGTTAATGCATTTTGTACCTCCCATGCAATGCAATGCAATACAGTCTTTACAACACCTGGACATGCTGAGTATGAGAATATTGAGCTGTTCTTGGTGAAGATGACACCACTCAGCAAACAAAGCTTTTAAAAGTTTCGGTACAAGTTCCGTCAGTCATCTTCAACTCGTCAGTCAAGCCTGTCATGTCCCACACATGCTTCATCGGATTCAAGTCAGGTTTAAATGCTGGCCATTTAATGTGGGTGATGCCCTCAGCTTGAAAGGATTCGTTTTAGATGTTTGCAAGGTGAGGACAGGTGTTGACAACCATAAACACAAATTCTGCTCCTATTGCACCCATGTCATAACTATTCGGTTATGGCACTGATCGGCTTACAGAATGCTTGTGAAAAAATTTACTTCATCACCATTTCTTACATAACCTTCTCTCGTCATTCTGACTTACTGGTGACCTACTGTAATTTGCATATTATTTTTGAAGATGTGTATTCTGGAGGTGAAATGTTTCCTTTTAGAGTTCTATTTACGTGCGATTATGAATTATCCTTAATTTTTGGACTGACTCGACTGTAATTAAATATCACCCTCTTGAGTCCCAGTATCCAAATATATAAAAAACATTCCTTACAATTTTCTCACTTAAAAATATTATTTAAAAAATTTTCTT